TAGAGCAAGATCTGGACATACAATGTCAAAGTCAGTCATTGACCGACTCCACACTGGGTTTAAACCATTATCAGCTGGAAAACAAATGAATAAAAAATATTTAATTTGAAAGACTTTCAATGAATTGTAAGTATATGTATCTGTAACATGTTGTAACATATCTAACTTTCACCTGCCAGCAACTGTTTCTATTAGTATCCAAAATAGTTAACATAAAAGAATAATTTCAAATATTCAATGTAGTGAAAAATCTTGAATGAACAGTACAACCGAAAAAAAAAACATTTGCCTGGGAAAAGCAAACATGCAATATTGATACATTTCTGTTTTTAATGCAATACTTTCCAATAGGTAATGAGAAAATATTTATTTAATTTTACTATAATTATACTTATCAATAAAGTTCAAACATAAAGGCAAGACATTTTTTCAACTAAATAAATAGGGGTTTGAACTTGCACCTAAAAAGAACCACTGACCTAAATATATCATTATAAAGGACTTCTGACCAACTTTGTGCTTTATTTGGACACAAGTGGACACCAAAATAGAACCACTGACCTTGCAAAATGTTAACTTGATGAAATCTGAGACTTAAGCTTACTCAAATAACCAAATTTCATAATTTTATTTTAACTGTCAGATGTGAACTGTCAGTTCTTGTTTGTTTGGTTTTACAGCACAGCAACACAGTTTAGGTCATATGTAACCAAAGCAGAAAAGATGACTTTGGCTAACCTCAGGTGTTACAAACTTCAAAGTAACACCAGGGTCAAAACCATCTCACCTGCTGGAGCTAAGAGGTGCATAGAATTGAGTTATTAGATAACATTAAGTCATCTCTTATGATTACACAGGGACAAACGGTGGCTGCAATTCTGATGCCTCAACTCTGTTGAACTGTTAAAGGCATACACCCCAACTACAAGGGGCAAGTCAGACTACTGGTCAACGACGCCCCATAAGTGATTCAGTTAGACATATATAAGTATATTAAGGTATAAATTAATACTTACGTATTGTAACAGTTTTATATTTACTATTATCACAGTCTAGGCCAACAATTTCAATCTCAACAAAAGGACTAACCAGTCCACGCTTTGATTTCATTAAATGTCTAGCTCCAATCACCTACAAAATTTATAATACATAATATCAAACAAATTTGAACTAACATTACAAGCAAATACTTATATTCAGATTAAAGGCACACTAAATGAAGGAAATATTTATTAAAATAGTACTGTAGAAGATATAAACAATCACTTACTGTTACAGAGACACTTATGAGATATAATATAGTAATGTAGAAGTTTAATCACCCAGTTACTGTCATTAGGTCAATTATGAAGTAGTAATGAAAACTTTAACAATAACTTGCCGTAATGGGGATGGTTATGAGATAGTTATATAGTCGAAAGAAATTTAAACAATCACTTCATGTCAAAGAGAATCATTAGGTACATGTAGTAACATATAGAATTTTAAACAATAGTTAAAGCATTATTATAGAGATATTGATGAGGTAGTAATGTAGTTTTAAAGAATCACTTACTGTCATAGAGTCAATTATGAGATAATAATGTAGAAGTTTAACTAACATTTACTGTAATAGAGATAGTTATGAGATAGTAATGTAGAAGTTTAAACTATCATTTACTGTTATAGAGATAGTTATGAGATAGTAATGTAGAATCATTTACTGTTATAGAGATAGTTATGAGATAGTAATGTAGAAGTTTAAACTATCATTTACTGTTATAGAGATAGTTATGAGATAGTAATGTAGAAATCATTTACTGTTATAGAGATAGTTATGAGATAGTAATGTAGAAGATTAAAGAGTCACTTACTGTTATAGAGATAGTTATGAGATAGTAATGTAGAAGATTAAAGAATCACTTACTGTTATAGAGATAGTTATGAGATAGTAATGTAGAAATTAAAGAATCACTTACTGTTATAGAGATAGTTATGAGATAGTAATGTAGAATCAATAACTGTTATAGAGATAGTTATGAGATAGTAATGTAGAATCAATAACTGTTATAGAGATAGTTATGAGATAGTAATGTAGAATCACTTACTGTTATAGAGATAGTTATGAGATAGTAATGTAGAGTCACTTACTGTTATAGAGATAGTTATGAGATAGTAATGTAGAATCACTAACTGTTATAGAGATAGTTATGAGATAGTAATGTAGAAGTTTAAAGAGTCACTTACTGTTATAGAGATAGTAAGAGGATCTACTCTCACAGATTTTTTATCAAATGGAGAAAAATCCTCATGTCTCATACAGTCTGGTTGTAGAACATATCCACATCTACAAAAATAATCAACTACTGTTACTAACATGGTTATAATTAAGTTATCTATCATCTTAGGTCAGTAAAAGATAATATAATGTAGTCGACTATTTTTTACAAACTTCTGTAAAGTATAAATACACAGTAGATTGAAGACTTCATAGAAGAACTGTTGTTTTTTTCTGCATACATACAGACACACAATACATTGGTGGGATAGTGAAGCTCTTAATTAATTCAACTATGTTATCACTAATATTTTTTTATACAAAAATGATTTTATTGCCGAAGGGGGTTTAAACTTATAGCATTCAAACTGTTGAAGCATAGCAGGTAACCATGACTTAGTGATTAAGATGTCTGCCACTAAACCCAGTGACTGTGGGTTTGATCCTTGCTCGTGTCATGACCATGTCACCTCATGACACATGTATTAGTAAGTTCCGGGAAGAGTACTCCAGTGATTAAATATACGTGACAAGCTTTCATCACTACTGAACTTGGCAAACTAAATTGTTTTATACACTTACGATGCATTTTGTAAGAAACGCCCCTGGTTAAGTTGCATGGACCGGTCTGGGGTTTGATAGTTGAGCGCGCACAGTTGACTTCCACAATTCCACATTGGTAGTTGGTTATAATTTGTAGAATCTATACGTGATCCTTTTGGATAAACTCGACTCAACTGACGTCGATTGTATGTATGAAGCGTTAAGAAATCAAATATTAGAAAAGGGAGGGTAAAAAGTAAAAACATCAATGTCATATATTATATTTTGATTTTAACTTTTCTTTCAAAAGTGAGAAGTATATCAAATCATTTTTGTTTTGGTACTGATACTGCATAGGTGTTGAAGCAACATACATATTTTCATGGTGGTGAAAAACCTGAAGAGATGATTTGTAGAAAGAGAAAAAAAAATTATTGTAATTAAAAACTTAGGTAATTAATTATGCAATATCTTGATCATTTCAATCATAAAAGGATATGCTAGAAAAGCTTTAGCTTTTGATTTGGTGCACATGTTTTCAGCTTTAGTCTCTTGGAAAGAGGACATCTCTTGGTATAGACCCGTCCCTGAAATAGCCATCATTTTATCATTTGAGCCGCGTCACGTCAAAACCAACATAATGCGTTTGCGACCAGCATTGATCCAGACCAGCCTGCGCAGGATCAATGCTGTTCGCTTACAAACTCTATAACAAGACTTGTAGAGAAACTGATAGCGAACAGCATGGATCCTGATCAGACTGCGCGGATGCGCAGGCTGGTCTGGATCCATGCTGATCGCAAACGCATTATGTTGGTTTTGTCGTGACGTGGCTCATTTAAATTTCATCTATATACAAAATATAACACAATTTACACTATACATGAAAGTCATATAGAAAAGAAGGAAAGCATGGTCAAAGCTAGTGATTAATTTTATCATCTAAAATTATTGTTTTCGAGGGCTCCTTATTCTATTGTTACAGCATGAGTCTCATTGTGTTCTATTGTTCTGTTTACACTTACTTGGCCCTCTATTACTGTTGCAATACTCGGAAGTAAGGTTCAGTTACTACATGTATATGCCAAGGGCTTAAAACATATGGACCATAAAATAAGGGGTAATAACAATTATGATGATTTGCTCTATAACAATACGAAAAGAATAATATCTGCCATGTTGCCGTTTAGATCAAAATATCCATCCCAAGGGGACTAGCCCATGGGCGGGTTCCCAAGGGATGGATATTCCGATCCAAACCTCAAACATATGTCATATATTTTTTCTTGTATATTCTACCATATTCCATGATATTTAAATTATTTGACTTTATAAAACAATTTTCCATGGAAATATATGTCATGACACACATAACTATTTTCTTACAACAACAGCGTATGAAATTAAAACTTCATTCAAAACAGCGAACCTGAGCATGCCATTGTATAGCACGCTACTCATCTGAAGGGGGGGGGGGGGGGTGCAGTGCAAGATGAAATTTCCGGCATGGGTAAAACTAATGGAAACACAAGTCTGATATGCAAGGACTTACTTTCCAAGTTGAACTGTACAGCTATACAATAGACAATGAGGTCAGAGAATTCTTGAGCAATCTGATTCCTCCTCTCCAATTGCTTCATGTTTTGTTGCTATAAATAGAATCACATAAACCTTATTACAATGTGACACATTCTTTTATAATATACCATCATTGTCGGTTACCCATGGTATATGTTAGTATGTACAGAATATTTACCGTGCATAACCAAAGATTATATTAATATACATACATTTAGTTTAAATAAACATTTTGACAAAGAATATACTTTTATCATAATTTACAATTTATTTTAGTTAAAATAATGCTTCCTTAAGTCTGTAATATATTAAACAGTTCCTAAAGAGCTATCAAATCTGTGATTTTTCTTCCAAATTATACCACACGTTTTTATGACCTTTGAAGAATTCATTGTACCTTTAATACAAAGGGGTTTCTCTTCAAAGTCCTCAAAAGTAAATGCTATTGTGATTGGATTGTTTTTATTATACAATGATCATATCATTGTACATTAAAGATGATTAATTCATATATATTCTATACCATTTCTTAAATAAACAAAATAATCAAAGTTCAGAAAAATACATCAAGAGTTTAAGAAATGCACGAATATTCATGCAGAACTTGACATGCTGTAATGTTTATATACAATTGCATTAACTAACTTTATCCCTGACAGTTACTGAAAGGAGTTACAGGGCTATATTTGCAAATTTTAAGACATAATACATGTACATATAATATTAAAGATTTATACTAGCTCTTAGTAAATTTTTTTTGCTCTAATGACAGTATTTCTAGTATTTATTCAAAACACTTTAATTTTTCATAAAAGACAAGTTTGGATCTGAATTAACAGTACATGTACGTCACTTCAAACACAATTTAGTCTGAAAATTTTTCAGTACTGTGAGTTTGGACTAAAATAAATCAAAATATGATATTTATCTGTACCAAACACAAATTTGATTCTTTTAAACACAAAGTTGACTATATTTTCACATCACACCCATTAAAGCTCACTTCACATCAAATCCAAACAACCTGTCTTCTTGAGCTTTAGATTAACTCATATATGCTATTATAAGTATAATATAAACATAAAGGCAGAGAGAAAACTGTATGATAGAACTTAATTAAACTTGGCATGATATTAGAATATGAAAACAAAAATGTTTTCAAGGAAAATATTGCGGGTTACTGAACTCATTTTTTAATTATCTGCCCTTGAATTTGAAAATTTTGTTTATTTCAATGGTAAAACTTATAACATAAGGCAGACAAACCTTATTAATGCTGATTTATGTTTTTATTTTTATTTTAACCTTTGTTCTTTGTCACAAGTAAATATGTAGCTGTTTTTCTTTTCAACATACATATTTGTTTAAATAAATACCATTGTACGGTTGTCACTGTGCCTTTATGTCTCTATATGCAACTATAGAATACACATCAAATTTTATTCTTAAAAATATATTATTTCACTGGTGCCAAGTTATCAAAATTTATCAGCACATTTTCACTTCAGATATTACAAACTGTTCTACCAACTACGGTATACAGATCGCCCAGATATTGTCAGTAGTTGGTGCAAATTACATCAAACAAGTGCTACTATTACAGGAGATTTAGGGTATACAAGAAAATATTTTCTATCATCTAAAAGACATTTTAACATTGTTCGACACAATGTTCAAATCTTTAACCTTAAATACTTCCAATACTAAACATCTGTTTGTTTTTCTTGCCAATTTTAATACATTTTTGGTCATATCTTGGCGGGCGATCCACACGTTGATTTTTCCCGGATAACTAACCAGTAAAGTCCAATTTCTCCACAATTGGCTGACTACTAATCTCACATGATTTCTGAATAGACAAATGACCATTAGATTCAATATCTGATATCAACTGTCGTGGAGAAACTTCACCTTGACCATAGAACATAGTAAAAGAATTACGAGATAAATACATAGCCTTGCCCAATCTTAATCAAGTGTTGGAATTATCATGCATTTTGAAGAGCTCATCAGAGTTTGCTAGACACAATAATACATGATTTGATAATAAGAATGTGTTATTTTCTATTTACAAAACAAAACAGCCAGAGATTTTTCCCACACCCTACATCAAATTTCCCACTGGGTGAAAAAAACTTAACCCAACAGTTTTGTGGATACCTGTCTAACTATTGTTGCAAGTGGATATTTGGGTGAATAGTTTTGTGATACCATTTGTGGTAAAGATGTCCTCCTGGATCCGCCAAGATCACTTAAGATCATGGTATCTCGGCTGCAGTTAGTTAAATCATACAAATACAACATTGTATTTTATATTGCATATTGTATTTTATATTGTCTTACCTATATTTATAAAAAGTCTTACCTATATGATAATAAAATAAATGATTGAAACAAGAGCCATGTCAACATGGCCATCCCTCGCCGAATGTGTTTGCTCATTGGAAGAATATATATATGTTGTAGAGCAGAATAATTTTTAGAGGTCTTTTGGTAATGAAAACTGATGGCTGAAGTGATTACATATTTGAAACCTATGTGAATACTGATGGCTGAAAATAACAAAGGGCAATTACTGAAGTTTCAAGTTGATATCTCAAAGGCTTTTATAGTTATGCTCTGGACAAAAATTAAGTTTCCAAAATAACAAAGGGCAATAACTGAAAAATTATGCAAGGTAGTTATCATTCTTGTGTGCTGCCCTCCTCCTCTATGAGACTTATCCACCTATGAAGTTTCATGTTGATACCTCTAACACTTTTTGAGATAAGCTCCGGACAAAAAGTATGCAAAGTAACAAAGGGCAATAACTCAAAAATTATAATGGGAAGAGTGATCGTTCTTGTGCACAGCATACTTCCTCAATAAGATCTATCCACCTATGAAGTTTCATGTTGACATCTCAAAGACTTTTTGAGTTATACTCCACTCACATGAAAAATTAAGTATAAAAAATAACAAAGGGCAATAACTCAAAACTTGTGAAGGGTAGAGTTATCATTCTTGTGCACTGCACACCTCCTGAGTGAGATCTATCCACCTATGAAGTTTCATGTTGATATGTCATAAGCTTTTTGAGTTATGCTCTTGACAAAAATTAAGTTTCCAGAATAACAAAGGGCAATAACTGAAAAATTATGCATGGTATAGTTATCATTCTTGTGCACTGCAATCCTTCTCAATATGATCTATCCACCTATGAAGTTTCAAGCTGATACCTCAAATACTTTTTGACATATGCTCCGGACAAAAAGTATGCAAAATAACAAAGGGCAATAAATCAAAAATTATAATGGGAAGAGTTATCGTTCTTGTGCACAGCATACTTCCTCAATAAGATCTATCCACCTATGAAGTTTCATGTTGACATCTCAAAGACTTTTTGAGTTTTGCTCCACTCACACGAAAAATTAAGTATGAAAAATAACAAAGGGCAATAACTGAAAAGTTATGCAGGGTAGAGTTATCATTCTTGTGCACTACACCCCTCCTGAGTGAGATCTATCCACCTATGAAGTTTCATGTTGATATCTCATAAGCTTTTTGAGTTATGCTCTGGACAAAAATTAAGTTTCAAAAATAACAAAGGGCAATAACTGAAAAATTATGCAGGGTAGAGTTATCATTCTTGTGCACTGCACTCCTCCTCAATATGATCTATCCACCTATGAAGTTTCAAGTTGATACCTCAAATACTTTTTGAAATATGCTCAGAACAAAAATATCGGACGGAAGGAAGGTCGGACGGAGACTATTTCTATATCCCCCGCCGCCTTTCGGCAAGGGATAATAAAAGCTTATATTTTATTGCATGTCATGGTGAATCTGTAATTGCACACATGACAACAGTGGCAGAATTTGACTTTTACTAGTATAATAATAATATTTAAAAAATCATTCAGTTTCATTCAAGAAATCAAATCAAAGCATTATATTGATACATATAAAAACACCAATAAAATCATTATCTAAATATAACCTCTAGAAAGAGATCTTAAACAATGACTCTCTCAGTTACTATATACTCCATGTAAAAATATTCTTAAATGAAGAGGCCAGCGGACAACATTTTTTACCTAACTACATCAATGTACATGAAGTCTGTATATTCAAGCATAACTTAACTCCATTAGTACAGAACTATACACAATGTGAACATTTAAAATTCTATTTAATAAACAAGTACATTTTTCACATGAGCTACATACATGTATATAATAGGTTCTGTCATAGTACATGTATATAATTGATACTGTAATTATTGCATTAACTATATACATATACTTGTTTATAAATAGAAATTTACATGCATTTCGTTGTAATTCAGTTGTATAGTCTGATTTTATTAACCTGTCAATTATGCATACATTATAGAACTCATTTAAATATTCGATCCCACTTCGGTTTGGTCCGTGTAGTTTACGAGAATTAATGTGGAGTATATTAGTCATGGATTGAAAGTCACGCCAGCTTAATGTGAAGGTTTTCGTTAATTCACAATAGTACAGTCGGTTAAGAGAATGCCTGATAAATTAGAGGTCTGTGGTTCGATCCTTGCTGTTGCCATTGTTTTAGTACTCTTTCTTTATTTTTGCCGTATATTTTAATGGAACAGTTTGTAGTGTGTTTTACAGCATTGAAAAGACATTTATTGATTTAAATCCGTTTTAATTTTAAACATGAATTCTTAAAACATGTTATTTAAAAAGAATATAGATATAACAAAATTAAGTAAAACATAATAAAACAAAACGAACATATATAGCTCCAATATTGTTGAAAGTATTAATAAGAAAATAAAAACATAGACCTACGCGGTCTCGAACTTAAAACACGTGTGGCACTTAGAGTATAAACTCGTGCTTTACCCTATTGCGCTATAACGCTGAGTACACTTTGTTGAGAGATACAAATTAAATTAAATTCCATCGTACAGCGTACATCTCACGGAACTTACCGAAAATCTACCGAAGATTAATATACTGTGTGCATCGACCGTGTAATCAGTATGTAATTGACAGGTTGATAAAACCAAACAATATACATATAACTGACCTTGTAATTATCACAT